AAATAATTAAATCTCTCTCTTTAAAAAATTCACGGTTAATTTTTTTTACCTTTGAATATCCCCAGCTCTTTTTGCTCTCCTGACTTGGTAACAGACCCTACCTCCCCAGCAACAGAGAGGGCAAGTACTAAAAAAAAGAACAGATAAAAGACCTAGCAAGTACTAAAAGTGTCTGAATCCCTGGACCCAGCTGTTTCTGAGGCAAGTCTCATCCCAACCATTTTCTAGGTTTGGTTACATCAGCCAATACACTCACTTTTTTGGACTAATTTGAGTTTGTTACTTGCAAGGTTTTGATGAATCCACAATGGGCTCCTTGAGGAAGTCATGTCTTTATGAGTTTAGTTCTTCTGTTTGCACCTAACACAGGGCCCTAGAAAGAGAAGCCCAACAAATAGTTTTCAAAGTAATGATTCTTTTTTAACTAAAATTCTAGGTTATGTAAAATGCTACAAATATTGATGAAATTACTATGTATAAAAAATTGTGAGCAAGTTCAGAGTCTCAGAAAATACTAATACTTTGGTTACTAGCCTGTTTTCAGGTACAAAAAGCCCATATTTAACCAGGCTGCAAATACATTCCTTGTTAGTAACAGGCACTGCCTCTGTATTACACTCATATGCTTATGCTTCTCATGGTAGGAAGTGCTTGACAAACGTATGTTCAAATGTAATTTTCTTTACACATTAATGCACTAATAACATAATAACTTGTGTGTATATGGTGTGCATGTGTGTCTGTATGTATGCCCATGTGTGTGTGTCTGTGTATATGCCCTTGTATGTGTGTGTGTGTGTGTTGCTCTTACCAACTTTCTGGGAAGGTTTTTTGCACTTAGAAAACTTGAGATGTAAATCTAAGATAGTTTGCTCCACAGACTCTTAAATAGGTCCCTTTCCATGAATGCTGTGTGTGACTTGTTGGTAAAAATGGAAAGTATCTGAAGGTTTTCTGTTAACTTGTCTTGATTTCCTTAAAGACTCTGGCACACAGCACAAGATTAAAATAATCTGGCATTGCTGCCTCCTTTGCCCAGGAATACCAAGGAATAAATATTAGAATGATGGATTCGCTTTTCCTTGTCAACCATGAATGTGTTCCAGCCTAAGGCAAGGTCTGGAAAGTAACAAAAATAAACAAAGAGAATCAAAGAGTATTCTTTTATTCAAAGTTTATTAAAATACAAGAACAAATTGTAAAAGCACACATACCACTCAGCACCAATATAATAACACTCTTTCTACCGATAAACTCCAAAGCATTTCTTTTTTCTGCAACTGAAAAGCAGAAATATGCACACATTCATTCTCACCACATTGACCCAGTACTCTTCACATTGTGTCCCGAATAGTCTCCTTGCTAGGGAGACAGAGATGAGGAGAGGCAAACTAATGTGACTACATCCAACCACTAACTGAGCGGGTGGCTCTTTCGTTAGTAGTTATCATTCGCACACTGGTAAACTCTGCGCATCTCAGCCTCCCTCTTCGGGTGCCCGATTTACTTGGGCTAGTGAGTCCGGAGATCATGTGATACAAAACCAAACAAAACTGGCCAACATTCCCTACCCAATACCTTTTATTGCTTTGGTTATAAAGTACTGGATACTTATGTCTTCACATCCCCCTATCCTAACACACATAAAAACCACACTGACCAGTGACATGGCCTGGAGCGGCCGTGAGAGAATTTTATTTATTTCCCATCCCCTTCTGTAGGCTGCTTTCATTTTTGTGTTTACCTGTTTTCTCTTTTTCCAAGACGGAGTGGAGAGGTCAGTTTGAGCCAAAATAGTGACTTCATTAAACATCTGCTGGGTCTTCAATGTCTCGGTAAATATTAAATAAACTCCCTGGAGATCTAGCACTGCTGGCCAAGACAGGCAGCAAGCCCTAGCTTGCATGAGCAGTCTTGTTTGGATATCTGTATGTGTTTGCTTTCTGTTGGTTCAGACTCACCCTTGGAACACAGTGGGGTCTGTCAGGTATGAAACCTTGTTTCTGGCACCATTTGGAACATAGGGCATTAGGAAGTGGGCCAATGATTTGCTCATCCTAAAGTCATTCAATGACACTCAGCAGCCTTCCTTCACCAGAAGGAATTGCTCTTCAAATGTTAGCAAATCAATAGATGAAGTCTTTAGGAATTAGGTCTTCCCTGTTGCCTTACCCAGGCTTAGTACTTCCCTTTCATAGAGGGCCCCCGAACATGACCAGGACAGTGCAATCACCAACAGCGATTGTACTCATGTCCCATTCTGGAAGTACACATAAAGAGTGGGTTTGGCTTCCATTTTTAAGGCAAAGGAGGAGGTTGAAATACAACTAAACATACTTTAGCCCTGATTTTTTGGCAATATCATTTTTTTAAGCTGCTGAAATTAAAAGACTCACTGTTAATCTCCACTACTGAGAGACATGACACTGGGAATATTCTGAAAAGCGGTAAACATTAGTAGAGGTTTTCACTAATCTTTCATTGGGACAGACGTCTGAGCCTACCTTTTCCCCTTTCCAATGGCACGGGATTCTAATTAAACTTGTTTTCCAAACCATCAGTCAGAGGTCAGGTGAAACAAATGTCCAGATTTTGGGAAGTCCTATAAATCAGTAAATTCCTCTTGCTGTGGACAGAGCCTACAGGGTATGCCAATAGCAGCTGTATCCACCTGAGAATTTTCCCAAAGGCACAAATATACTTTTTAACTTGTTCCTCTGGTGTTTGATGCAGCAAGGCAGTTCCTACACATGACCTTACCACGTTTTTATAATTTTTATTCAAGAACCCAAAAAGTAAGACACACTCAGGCAGAATAATCAGAGAATAAGCATCTCTTAGATACTGGGAGAAGAATTTAACTAAGTCAATAGACCACTTAAGACTCTGATATTATAAACAATCATGGATACATTCCATGCATGAGGTGAAGACACAGGACCCTTTATTCTACATCCAAAATATGAATATAGAGAGTCATGAAAACTGCCCCCTTAGCTATACAAAGCAAGGACAGTAACTAGTTTGTCCCCAAGAAGGTCAGTTGCATTTTAATAACTGTATGAAATACTTCTACACTACTGTGCAGGCATTTTATTCATGCCCATTCAAAAAAGTCATTGTCCATTCCACTAATACTTTCTCTAATAAAATAAGTTTTGGATAGCTCCAAGACATCTTTCAAACACTAAATGTTTGAGTAAATCCAGGTGCTATGATAATATCTAAAAGTTCTTGGAAACTATTTCAATATTAGAGAAGCTAATTCAATTTAAAAGGCTAAACTGATAGCTCCAATGAAACACAGACTATAGGGGTTTAGGTAATAAGAAAAAGAACTCAGAGTTATACATACTACATGTTTCCCTCGTGAGAATTAGAGCTATAGCTCTTCAAAGGAATGTGCCTTTGAAGGTGAGTATTGGGTATTGACAATCTAATAGTTTCTCTGAGCATATCAGCTAAGCATTTTCTTCTCTCTCAAAGAATGATTTATTGTTAATTTTATTAAAGGCACACCATAGGAAATCAATAAAGTTTATGTTGAGATAAATAAGTCACATAATTATCATACCCTGAGAAAAGACCATACCATTCTACATATTGTAGAATTTCTGAGCTCTGTCAATCCACCTTCTCCATTGATCCTTCAACAACTTTTCTTCCAGTATCTCTTCCATGTTCTACTGAACATGTCTTTCTCCATGGTTGTCAGCCTATGTCCTTTAATGTTTACTTTCTCTGCCTCATTCCTCCATTGGACTATCATCCAGGAGAAGAATTGCCTGCGTGCACACACACAACCTTCTCTGTCTTTAAAAGTATAGCACAACTGGGTGATTTTTTTCCATCATCCTTTCTCCCCAGACAAGTAGCATTATGGCAGCCAAAACTCATCCCCCCACCAGCTTCTCTGACATCCTGTTCCATTATCATACATATAGAACAAAGGGGAAGTTTAACGACAATGATGTTGGTGTGCTGTAGGATACCACATAATCTCAACACCATTTTGAAGATAAAAGTCAATGAGGTCACTGACAAACCTTGACTGTAGATGCATCTGTGGTTGAATCTGAAATAATCTAGTCTCAATTTAATTTTTCAGCAATTCTTTAGATAATATCACATTCCTAAAAATCTGCTGTTTGTGTTTTTTTCAAATAGAACTTAAAACACTAGAAAGCTTAGATGTTGTCATAAGAAAAACGTCATTCACAATGGAACATTAATATCTGAACAGTAGACCAGCTAGTGATAGGACTGATTTGTTGCTCCAGTTTAAAAAAAAAATCTTATGTTTTTTGCACACCCAGTTCTGACTTACTTATCATTTCAGGCAATTAGTTTAAGAAGATACTTTCAATTTTAGATTGACTTTTTCTATTAGTTTAATTTTATGATTCCGTTATTAATGGAATGGACATATGGGCCTTTGATTGTGGCTTTAAATACAAATATACTTTGATAATAAATTCAAATTTTAAAATAATTATGATGCAAAATTAGCCAGTATATTCTTTCAAGAGTTAATGATCTTTAATTATTACGTATGAGTAAAACTTAATTGTTTTTATTTTAAAGAGAAGCATTTTTATATATATATATATAATATTTATATAAAAAGTCATGATCACTAAACCTCAGCTAATGGAACTAAAGGAAGACCCAAGTCTAAATTCAAATGTCAATATAAATTCCATTTTACCAAATTCCCTGATATTAAGGATAGCCTTCTGTCAAAGCCTCCAAAATTACTGACAGGAATTATTTCAAGCTAACTTTCTATTTTTCAACTGAAGAAAGCATGTTTGTTTGTATCTATCAGTCATTATAGGAAAAGAGGACTGTAACTAAATAGCAAGGGTACCTGCCTCCCACACCTTTCAGCTCAGCATTCGAAGAGAACATTGCTATAGAGACCAACACTAGCAATGAATGGAGCCACCTCACAATTGTGTAAGTGGGGAAGGAATACACCAGCACCACCAGGCCCACTGGCTTCCCCTTTAATAGGTATCATGATGTGCATTTCACCCACTAAAAATGTACACACCACATACATGTTTCATAAGGTAATATTTCCACAAACAATAATTAGTACAAATATTTAGGGTTTTTTTCTCTTTCATCCCCTTTTCCTCCTCAGTCTATAAGCATGTGATGAATACCTTGTTTTCATATGTATTTTCTCTATGCTATTTTTAGTTGAACTTTTTCTTTTTCTGGCTTTGTCCATGTTTCTGTTTCTGTGACCAACAAATTAGTTTCACTTTCTACAGCTTCCAGGTGAAACACTATGAAGTTTCCTAATCATTCTGCCTCTTCTTTCCTGGAGTGTCAATTTAATTTTCTTCTAGTGCTTTCTCCATTTGCAAGATTTCAGTTCAGCATTCTAACCCTCCAGGTTGAGGGATCATTCTTGGTGTCTGCAAATGCACCTGGGAATTGTGTGCTACAGGGGCTGGCACAGCACACTGCATGGCTAGAACTACTCTGACACATTAAACACCATGGTCCTAACCACATGATCTGGGTTCAAGGATGCATTATAAGTAACCATTTGGGAATTTTCTAGTTGGGCTTTATCCATGCTGACTAAAGGTTAGGCAGTACGCCATCTTAACAGAGACAGCAGTTTCCCTAACATAGTAATTATTCACATAACTCTTCTTCTGGTCCCAAAGCATGCATCAGCAGTATCACATCTTTCTCAAGGAAGAATGAACACACGCCAAATCAAGGTTTCTTCCTTTCCAACTCAGATCTTTTCTCTCAGGAATTTTTTTCCACTTAAAAAGAGGTAATAGGACTACTAGTTAGCCCAACGCCATTTGTGTAGTGAAAGAGATGTTACAGGTTTATGTTCTTCCAACAGGTAAATTTCTGTCTTTTGATGAGGCAATGGGACTCAGTTGAAATAGTGGATACAGTTCTCCATTTCCTTTCTTTTACATAATTTTTAAAATAATAAATTCCTTTACAATCATACCTTTAACCAGCTAATCTAGAATTCATCTCTTGTTGAAATTCTTCTCCAGCCAATGCCGGACTTCTTGAAGGTTGTAGCAGAAGGGGCCCTTTCCTCCTAGATAAGCAATTTTCTGTCTCTGTACAATGCACACACGCTCAAAGGCTACCCCATAAGCTACATTGGCATTATTGTCCATGCAGTCAGCCACAACTTGGCACTGGGGCGGCAAGGAGAAACGCTCCAGAAGCTGGTGGGCTGCTGCACATCTATCTTCCAAGTTCCGGTGCTTCTTCACCTCAAATGACAAAGAGGAGTCCCCAGGCACTGCCCAACCATCTGAAGGATGAGCCTCATCAATGTAGACCAACAAGAAGTCAGCCACTGATGAGAACTCTTCCACCAGTTTGCGGAAGGCTGGCAGCTGGCTAGTAAAAGGTGGTCAAGTGGCTGATCCGAAGTTGACCACCAGTGGTCGTTCAGCATGGGCAAAGTCAAGAAGGTGACATTCAGCTCCATCAGCTGTCTTCTCCGGGGCACCATTTCCACTACTGATACCTCCTTCAGGACTAGACACATGTACCACACTGGAATTGGGGGCATCTTCACCCAATTTCACCTGATGGTGAAAACAGAAAGATAATATCACATTAAACACATTACTGCTTTAATTCACTCTAAATAGATACAATTGGCTGTAATAAAATGTGGTATTTCCTTTAGAGGATGTGGCAAATGCATTGATTTGAGTAAAAAGGTATCATGGCAGATAATGTAAAGAATGGTCAAAAGAGAATGAAAGTATTTTTCATTCTGTGTAGTTACTAAAGGTAATTATTTTCATCATTGAAGCCACTGAAGCTAACTCTTTTCATAATTAAATTGAGACTGGTTTGCATCACTATCCTTACTTTGCTGTCAATACTTGGCAAGCATTATATAACAAATGATTAATTGACTTCATTTAAAAAGTTAGAAACAAATGGTCTACTTTAAGACAAATGATCAGAGTCTTTGGACAGAATGCCTCTTTTTGAATTCTAAAATACTCAAGCAGGACCTGAATTTTCATGCATCATGCTAAATTATTTCATCTCAACCAATGGACAGGGATATGAGCATACTTTCTCTTGCCAGATTTACACAACCTGGAATCCACCATTTATAAAAAGAGTTACTCCCACTTAATCTCTTCAGCCCTTTCCTGTTTGTAAAATGAAGATAATAAAGCCCAATTCCCTATATGGTTAATGAAGGACAACATAAGGAAAAAGAGAGCTCATTGTACTATAAATCACTACATGGGTATACATTGCCATTATCAGATGCCACCTCACACATGAAACAGAATACCACTTTTCATGGGAAATTCTGTGTTTCAAACAAATAAATAAATTATCCTGAGAAGAGATTTGGACTTTCATTTTTATGTTACCCTTCCTGCTACTGCTTCTATTATGGTCCCTATGAGTAGAACCTCAAAATTCCCATTGAACAAGGAAAATAGATAAGCAAACAAAGAAAAACATAGTTTTTCCAGAATCTCACATTTAGTTGATTTCTCATTTTTCATGTGTTTTTGTTTGTTTTCTCCCTTTTATCTAGGAAATCACAAACCATTTACTCTCTACCATATAATTTATTAATGAGATACCTGATAAAATATTTAGATAGAACAGGTAAGGAAAAATGGCTCCATTTGCCTACTTTGCACACAGTTTAAATAGTTGTACACAGAATAATGAAAGAAAGTCTGTGGTCTTTGGATCTGTAAATTGATAATAAAATGCAGCCAACATAAAAGAGCCAATTACTTCAGTTTGAATTAACACATTTAGATCTCTCCCTAAAATGGCTTAATCAAAGCCAATAACATTAGGGACAGCTTACGACCATACAATTGATTTTTATACACTATCCTTAATATTACAAAACATTTCCAACAGGATCAATTTATTTCCCTCATATAAATACAGCCACATACACACTGCTGTTAATTGAGACACTTAGAAGGAAATTGCTAAGGAAGCACAATCTAAAGTAATATAATACACTCAAGGGCTTTTACTTAAAAACTTCTATCTAATGTTAATGCGTAACTCATTTTATTTTTTCCATATACTTACTTTTTATTGAATTTGTTAATGTTACAGAATTCTTGCACTGCCAAGCCATGCCTAAGAATCCAAAGACAGAACAGTACAATGGACAGCCCCATCCACCCATCAGACAGTATATTAAAACTTGATTTGTGTGCATTTTGATAATTTGACAAATTTTTAAAAATTAGAGCAAGAGTTGGAATTTAAATATGCTTCAGGTCTTCAGATTTCCAGTACAGTAGGCCATTAAATAAACCCCTTCATATTTGCCTTGCTTTAACAGAAAAAGAAACAAGTGTCTTCCTCTCCCTTCCCTCCCTTCTTGAAAAGCTTAGCAAGGTAGGTTTGAAAGAGATACTATTCGTTTCCAAAAGAAATGTTAAAATAATAATCTTCCTTCTTAGAAAAGAAACTTTTGATATGATTTAAATAAATATACATGGTTTCAGTCACCATCAGGGAAGAAATTGCTAACTTATATTAATTTTCTTGGCTAACTTGCAAGTGCTGTTAGATGGAGAAATCTAATCTAAGCCACTTGTAACTGGATTATTTCATGTGAATGGCACTAGTCTTCAAGATACTGAAGCATAATTTACACTTAAAGATTTGCATTTTAAAGGTATTATAAATCTTTTAACTTATGGGTTCTCTTGGCACTTCTTTGTAGACCTGGATGGTAAATATCATTCCAATCACCTTTCATTACATCTTTCCTACTTAAGCTAGTAATAATGATGCTAGGAGGGCTGCTTTTTAATAATATCTGTGTGTGCTGCATCTCCCAACATATTGTGACAAGAAGAACTGAATGTACTCAGATGAGTGGCTACAGAGATTTCATGTTAAGTATGCATACACACACACACACACACACACACACACACACACACAAATAATCTCTGCACTAAAGACTGGTAAATTCATAGCAGGTGAAACCATCCATCTGCATTTTGGAGTCATTGCTGAGACCTATGGAGAATTGTGTGGTCTTGATAAATGGGCCTCTGACCTCCCTGACTCTCACCAAGCAGACCTGTTGATCCATGTGTTATTCTTGACTATTCACCTGAATATTTCAATCTGATGCTTCAGTCACAGGTGTTATCTTGTTACCTACAATTAAATTTCTTGAAAAGTTAAGGCATTTCCCTTCTTAGAGACAACATATAGTCCAGCCACAGAATTCTTTCCAAAACACAGATTAGCTTGCCTTGAAAAATTTAGGACACATACCACACTATCACACTAAAGTGAAAAACTAGGCAAGTTACCAAATACATAGTGGTGGAAGGGTAGCATTTTGTTAGTCTGAGAAATATTTTAAACATTTTGTTGAGTGAATTGTTGAATAAATGCTTGTTGTTACAATCCCAAGCCAGTGAAAAGGTCTACACTTAGTAGTAATCTTGACCTGCATAATCATAGTCAGGTGATGGATAAGCTCACTGAAGCAGAAAAATTGAAATCCTGAGCCCTCCGATGGAGAACTGCCACAATCACCTCCCACTGTCACTCATTTAGTCTTGATTATCTCAGTGAATAAACCAAATGTGGTCAATTCTCTTTACTTTCTTGAGCAGCTATGGCACCTTATTGAAGACTAGAATGACATAAACATATACCCTTATTCATGAAGTTGACCAGGTAAGAGAAAACGCTGTTAATAAAACTAAGAAAGAAAATCAAATGCCTATAATCTATAAATACAGATGTGAATAGACTAGTGGTCTGCTTTTATAAACATCATATAACCAATCATAAATGTGTCCATCTTTGCTAAAACCTGATGGAGAAGAACTTAGCTAAAAAGCAAAACACTTAGATTTGCTGTAACCTAAAAAACTCTTTGAAAAAAATATCACTCTTTATTCTCATTTCTGTCTTTGATCACCATGAAAATTAAATTTCTATTAGACCAGAATTTCAAATGGAGAATCTCTCGTGGTTTGCTTGGTTAGCAACCCTGCTGAGATGGAATGGGAGAATCACCATTGCTTCAAGGATGGAAGATTCTTTGCTCTCCCCAGGAGCAAAGCATTCCTTGACACAGAGCCAAAGTGATGAAGAAAATACAGTTGGTCCCATAATAACATTTAGGTTGCAGGAAAGAAGCCCAACAAAAACAAGTTATCCCCTAGTAGTCCCAAACTTTGTTTTAATTTCCCACAGTGGCACAGAAAGTCTCCTGGCCACAAGTTACCTATCATCTTGATTTCTCCTTCTTAGAGGGTTTGTGTTTGGTTTTTGTCCTTAATGAGACATATTTGCCAAAGAGGCATTCAAAAGGCATTTTTTTACTCTTGCGGAAGAGTAATTAGGTCGGTACCTCTTTCCCTGCCAGCATTAGCCGCTCTAAAGAGAACCCTGCCCAGTATTTAATGCCCAAACACAAGAAGCATCATTTCCACTAATTGGTCTTGAAGTTCCGATGTTCCCAAAGGGTCCCTTTATTTTGCAAGGATCAGAAGGGACATACGTAAAATGTGATATCGTCATCACTGACTTTTATCTCTCTCATCTGCATTATGACAGTTGTCTTTTCTTATGTTTTTGCAATCAGCATGAATACAACACCAACAAAGGGGGTGAACAAGCATTTGCATCTTTACAACAGATGGCATCTCTGGGCCAAGTTCAAAGGTTACGATAGACATGTTTATAAATACTAACATGAGCGTAAGTCGGTAGCATGTACACATATTTGATTCCCTTGGTGTGGGATTCCATTTTCTGACGGTGTTGAGTGCATGGGGAAAAGGGTAATGCCCCCTTAGCATATGGACTATAAAATGCAGGGCAGTGGGGTGGGGCGGGGGCTGGGGGGAGCAAGCCATTCATCAAGTGAAGCTAGAAATAGAGCATATACTACTAACCTTTCCCCCATACACACAGGCTGAGAAAAGATTTTGGATAGAACACTCTCACAACCACATGCTAAAAAGCAAAGTAGATGATAAAAACAGGGGAAATATGTATATGGCAGAGTATTTACACATGCTTCTTGCTACCCAAAGCCATGGAAATGGTCTTATTAACTATCAGGAAGTTTCAAATTCTTTACATAATGACCAGGCTACATCAATGTCCTTAGAAACACAGCCAAACAATCATTAAGCAGAGATTTAACCATTTGCATTCAGATCAGAGTTGAAGAACTGGCTACCTACTCCTTTTGAGCTCAATTTCCTGTTTGGCTACTCTCTTTCTGATCTGTACCTTAAAAATGTAGCTCAAAGCCTTATCATTCCCAGTGTTTTATCCAAGTAATGGACAAGCTCTGGCAGTGGCTTCTTTGTGCACTTTTGAGGCAGTTTCTCTCTTAAAAGAGCCATTTTTCCATTATAGAAAGTAGTGTCAAAGGCTTGAGGTGAATGAAGAGGAGGAGAAGAATGTTAAAGAAACCCTTTCAAAACCAAAATTATATGTTCAAATGAATATGTTTTCTGTGCTACTGCAATATTAACCATGCAGAAACTAAACTGCTTGTCAGCATCTATAGTGTGTGTTTACTTTTACACTTCATTTAGGTAAGAGCCATGCTCCCAGACAGGACAGTTTGCTTATTGGTTGTGTTTTTAAGTCTTCAAGCACCAGCACAAAGATACGGTGTTCAGATCAATGACACTGTCTGAAGAAACATAAGTAACAAATATCTATTTATTGCAGACTTTCTCATGAGTTTCTATAGACTTTCTTTTCATAATCATTGTATACAGAACCCCTCCCTCACAAAACCCACATGACCTCCATAAAGTTAATTTTAAATCCCTGTCAACATTTTAATGAATAAAGTTTTTTTGTTTCACTTTGTCTTTTTTTATGTCTATGCTGCTCCATGTGGATAAAACACAGGGGTCATATTTGTATCCCACTATATAGATGTCTTCCCAAGTATGTGACATTCCATGACCAGGAGGATAAAGAATAACAAATGCCATGTCTAATTATATCACCTATGGTCTTGCCCCTCCTCCTTCTGGGGTATCAGCCTCCAAATAATGCAGTCAAGATCATGAAATCCAGTGATGCCATCTCAGACAGAGCCTTCTCCAGTGTCTCTAAAAATGGCCACACCCAAAGTCAGTGGCACAGATGACAACAGCAATTGGTAAAGTGATTCAACCTGTTTGAGAAGTTCTGAGTGACCCTCAAATGCCACCATAGCAACCACTACCCTAGCCATTCTTAAAGACAAAAAAATATAAAATCCAACTCCAGTTGTTTCTACAACATTTCTATTCATCACATACCCACTACAGTCTTGTCTCTGGATATATGATTCGCAGGGTTGCTTCTGCACATGATAGCTGTTATATAAATCAGTAAACACAAAGACAGTAACATCAGTCATGAACTTGGCCACTAATCAAATCAGGAGGTAGAGACAAAGAAATACAAAAGAAGAATACACAAATAATATGCCAGAAGAAAAAACTAAATCACTCTTCTTCCTTCCCAATTTCCTGGAATGTGAATAACAACATATCACAACACAATGGGACACTATACCTTAATGAAAAAAATTTTTAAAATTTATTATAGAAGCATTTGTTTCCTTTTCCATTTCTATTTCAATAGGCTGCTTAACTATTACTCACTTAATATCTGTGAGTAGTATTACTGCCCTCATAGCTAATGTGAGAGATGATATTTACATTACATATTTATGTATATAAAATTCTCTGAAAAAGTTTTCTAAACAAAAGTCAATTGTCTTTCAAAAAAGTAAAACTTTAACAATCTGAGATCAAAGCACTGATATTTACATGAAATACAGATGTACATGAGGGAACTTCCTAATTAACAATATTTTTATATATGCGTGCATTCCCCTGCTTTCCTTCAAATTCTCTACCCCTAAAACAAAACATAAAAATTTCACATTCGATGTACACAATTGTGGGACTAGAATGATCATTTCACTATCCCTTGTCCCCACCTCTCATTCGTCTCTACATACTTGATATTAATGAAATTGTACTATGATGCGTCCATTCAATGTTCTCAAAAAGGAATTCCCATTTGCTAGTCTAACTATTAATATGCCTTTAAGGAGATAAAGGCAAAGCTTCTGCAGGTTACTCTCAATTAATGACCTGAAGTAGGTAGCAAAACTTCCCTAGTTCACAGTAGATATTTTCTCCCTGAACATCTGATTTCAGTAGAATAACCCTGTTCTCGAGTCTTTATTTCTTGTATTGTCCTGGTACAGAGCTGTATTTTCCTAGTGTTCACATATAGAGGACTCAGTCTCTTTCCTCCCTATTATTTTGAGTTTCCATTGGTACTTGGTACTTCCAAGGTTCTGCTAGTCTAAAATGTGCCACTTCACTGAACACCTGACTTCAGTATTCCTCTCAAAGTTCCTTCCCTGATATCTTGTGCAAGGTCTCCCAATACTGTTAGGGAAACCAAGACTGTCTGCTTTGATAGCAGCTTTTGCCACCTGAGTTCATTCTACCTAACCCCAGGGTGCCTTCAGGGGTCATATGGGAATAGGCGATGGGAGCAAATTGACAAAGGACCAGGACCAAGGTGTTCTGCTTTGTCCCTTAAAATCTCAGTAGCAAATGCTGCACCAGACTCTCCCAGCAATGAAAAGGCTGGAATACCAGAATTTTTCCCTTAAAAGCAAAAATCACCAAATCTGGTTTTTTAAGAGCAACAGGGTCACGTCTTTCACAGATAAGAGAGGCCACTGCTCTCATGTTGAAGGCATGAGATTGTAATGAGTCACAGACCCATCCACTTTTTCTGAGACAACTTATTTTACTTCTGAGAAACTAGATTTGTAGGTTGGCTTCCCTTACAGAGTGGATTTCTCTCAGTCAGTTCTCAGATCTTTCTTTCACAAATTGCTATCTAGTAACCAGGGATTCACAAATTTTGATCACAAGGCTTGCTTTCATTAACTCTTACCTCTACCAGAAGAAACCAAGTGGCTATGGTACCCAGTTTCAGTTGTGACCATTTTGTTCTTAACTATGGCAGTTTCAGCAATAGAAGAAAAATGCTATTCAAACTTATCTCCTAGTGCACCTGGCATGACGTCCCACCAAGCAAAACATAATTTCAGCTATGCCAAGAGCAGAACAAATGCAGCAATCTCCCCTCCCCCAACATTTTCTGACCTTGCCTAAAGTTATCCTACCAGCACAAAACCCTCTACTCTCACATCACAGCAACCCTTCTTTAAAAGATCCTGACCAGAGTCATTATGGCTTAATAGCTGTCACTCCCAAGTCTCACCTGTACGCAGGTGTAGAAAGTAAAGGCAAAGGCTCATTTGAACAGAACTACTTAGCAAGCCCCTAGATGGGGCTCCCCAGCTTGCATCCCAAGGCTCCCCATGGCTTCCAGTCCCCAACCTTGGAGCACCTGCCCATTGACATAAGGAGAAGCCCTGATGGGTGCAGCTCACCTGTTTGTAGGCATCCAGGAGAAAGCTCTTCCAGACACAGCGCAGTCCCTCTGAGGTCAGCATACGCCGCCACTCTCCGCGAGTGGCCTTGGAGCGGCTCAACAGCAGCACCACGTGCTTGAGCAGAATGACCGAGTCATAGAGCGCCAGGAAGAGGCAGTTGGAGAAAAAAACTGGCAGAATTTGCAATGTGATCAGCAAGTCTACGCTGAGGATACCCATCTTCTCTGCCTCCTGAGTCAGTCCCCTTGTGCGCTCTTCTGGTTCCCCTTCACCCTCTTATTTAAAAGGGGGTGGTGGTAGAAGGGGTGGGGGGGAAGGGGAAAGGCTGGGGGGTTGGGGGGAGAAGGAGAAAAACTAAATTAAAAGGAAGCCCAAGTTGTCTCCTCTTTCACAGAAGCAGAAATGGCAAGACCAAGTTCAGTCTCTCCAGCCCAGCAGTTGGAGTGTGCCCATCAATTCATTCAATTCAGAGCTGCTGGTCTTTTTTTTTTTTTTTTTCTGAATTTAAGATGTTAAAAAAAAAATTTAAAAAGAAAAAAGAAACAAAACAAAACTGGCGTACCCGTCCCTAATTCAGTTACCCCTGTGAGAGTCCGTTAAAGACAGGCAGTTCTACTTTCATTTCCAAGCACCTATGAGACTGTGGCAAAGATTGCAAAATTTTCTTTAACTTTTCATTGTCTCTATATTCTTTAAACGCAGCCTGTTTCTTTCTTGAGTTGCCAGAGTTTTTAAAATGTGCTTTAAGGGTAGGTTTTTTTCTTTCTTTCTTTCTTTCTTTACTCCGTTTTAAACACACTTTCTGTTTCCTTCCCCCAGCCTGTCTCACTCTGTCCCTTCTCCAGGAGAGACTGACTCTTCCTTTTCTCACTCCCCCTGGCTTTTCCTGCGTGCTATCTTTCCGTGGTGCAAAGTGCCTCTCTCTGAAGCCCAGGGAGTCTCCCTGAAGCCTTTTATACATTCCCTGGCTAATTGCTGCAATAGAGAAATGAAAGCCTAATCTTGCTAAAGATCTTGACGTCATTGAGAAAGAGGGCTTTACTTTGGCCAGAACTGCAGTGAATAGAAAAGCAAAACTCGACAACTTTTTTTTTTTTTTAAGAAGGGGTGAGGGAGAGACAGTGGAATTTTGCTTTGTGATTTAAAGACAGAGAGAGAAAAAATTAATACCTTTGACAGCTTTCAGGAAATGCTTCCAAACTTTGGGAAAAGTAATTTAATATGATGTGTAGAATAAGATAGTAACACACACTCCTCTGATAATCATTTCCCTTAATCTATCAGAATTTGGGGAAAGAAAGGCACCTGGCAAGCAGGTAAAAAAGAGGAAGAGGAACCACAGGTGGTCTTTGCTACAGTTTTGGAAGAAATAAATGTTTATATGTGATGTTTACACATATATACCATGACTTTTTTTGTCACATTTGTAATCTAGGTCCTTCAAATATTTTTAAGTCATAATCTTAATTTAAAAAACACAACATGAGTTGTAAGGTGAAAAATTTACCACAGAATTTCTTGAAAGCTTCTTGAAGAAATGTAATACAAGTTTTCAGTTTTATGGAAGCTTCCAATCCAAAAAAAAAAATCCTCCACACATGGAGGGAGTTAAGTGACCAGACTTTCTTTTCATTCCATTTTTGCTTCTATGCAGATAAAACTTTGCATTGAATGGTATTAGGATGCCATAAGGCTGAGAAATATACTATTTATAAGAGTCCTTTGAGTTTAGCACTTGCCTTCCTGTTAGCATAACCCCTGAGAGATCTGTAGCTTTAAGGAATCTTCCTTTTTGCTTGAAAAATAATTAAGTGTACAGGTGGCTCAGAGCAAACTCTGTATCATTGAAGATGCCACATTGACCTACAGGACTTGCCTCTCCCTTTAGTCTCCAGGACAGTTACTAATGCTTTGGCAGAATGCCTTGGCCCCCACCTCATTCAAGTTCTCCTTCCTCTTATACCTAACAGTTCACCTCTAAGAACTATGTTTTCTTGGAAGGAATGGCAAGTACAGACATTGGGTGGTGTGTAAAATTTTAATTGAAAATTAATTAGCTGAGTTTTCTATGTCCAGAGAGCACTCATTAAGCATGAGTAAGTATTAGGTGCAAACCTGTAGTAAGTCCATTACTGTATTTTGGTCCCTGTGGCTGTTTGTGCAAGATCACAGAAATAATTTATAAGCCTAGAGCACAGACCATTAATTGGTGGACATATGGGCTAAATTCTGTATTTTTATTATTTTGTTTGGTTGGCAGGGTGTTTTTTGCCTTTAAAACAAAAATCAATGAAGAGGCCTTGAGATTTTGTGTAACCAAAGATTCTTGTCCACTTTGTTCATTGTGGTCTCCCTTGCACTTTAGAACCTTGCTTGGCATCTGTTAAAGCTCACTGAGGATGTTCTGAATGAATGAATACATAAGGCATGTAGGGGCCCTCTGCTTTTCTCCGCACTAGGGGGCGCTATTCACATACATCATGATATGAGATGGTGTGGCCTGAAATTGAAAAATGTGATGGCATCCGGCATGCCCACCCCCCCCAATGACACAACCCTTACCACTTCACACAATCATCAGATTCCTTCATTTTAATTATCAGCGTGGCCTATTATAAGTTTTGGATTTGCATCCATGGACTAAATTTTTAGAGAAAATAACAGAGGTTAGAAAAATTAATATAAACCATGTAGAAAATTTGCCCCAGAACCAACCAGCATGCATTGTTAGCAAAAGAATATCATTCGTTCACTCTCTCCCTCTTGCTCTCTTTCTCTCTCTCTCATTTGTTCCGTTCTTCCTCTCAAACTTCTTAATATTCTTGTGGGAAAAAAGAAAGTACAAAAAGAAGGAGGAGACAACATGATGTTCTAGCTAGTGTAGATGGGAAAGCCTAAATGCCAGACCAAGTCTCAGCCAACAGTGACAGAGAAGGTGTGGGCACTCACTGCCCAAGCTCTAAACTCTCACTCCTTCTCAGACGTTCATTTCACTGCCTTTGAATTAAACACCAGTGCTCCTTTAAGGTAGAGACTTTGCCAGCTATAAACCAATTCTCCCTTACTTGTCATTTGCTCTCAAGAACTTAAGTGTATTTGAAAATGGCCAGCTAAGCACAAGGATTAGTAGAAAATCAGATAGGTTTTCTTTTTAAATGCAGAGTTCAAAGCACATACAGACTACAAGTGGTTTTAAGTCAGAATTACAGCTCTGGTTGGGTCCTGTTTGTTTATATTTTTTTCTTTTCCTTTTCTTTCTTTGCTTTTTTGAGATCAGAGTATTTGAGAGGAATTAAGAAAAAAGTAGGAAAACAAATAGGCATAGAGCCAACCTGGTTGTGCCTTTTGTCAGATTTCTTCTACTATTTCTTCTAAATAAATGATTCAAAAACTAAGAGCTATTCTTCTATCAAATAGACAATCTGTCTGTCCATCTTAGAAATTATAGTTCTCCAAAGCTACTTCTCTAAAAAGAACACATGGTTCACAGTTGCTTGTCATAATTATTAACAATATTTATCATTTTAATCTTCAAGTAATTTTGTACTCATGAAACAACAACATAATCATAAGGTCACAGAGTATTATTTTCCCCATCACATAGAAAAAGTAGATCAGCACAGTTGGAGAATCAAGTGGTATGGGAAATTTTTCCAAACTCTAAACCTCACTTTTGTCCTTAAGGACTGTTTTATGGGTCCTGCTTACTGCTCCGAAAACCAAAACTTGCTGAAAGTGGTTGAATGGTAATTTTATCTTCTAAATTGCAAAGGGTATCTGGGATTTAACATCTGTTTAATATTGTCCCAACTCAAGCTCTTGGTTCAGACTTCATATGACCATTTAAAAGGCTCGAATAGCTTCTTGGTCATGTAAGTGTTTTTAGCAATCAATATTGTAATGAGTTAAATGCAAACCAGCATGTGGCATGTTGGTTGAATTTCCCCATACAATGTTGTACACAGGTTTTAAATTCCAAAGACACACAGCCCAGGGCAAAATGCTTTGGGCTTTTTTAATAAGTACAGAACCACTGCAAAATTGTTTAATTTGTTTTCCTCTTTCCATAGTTAAAGAGCATCATATCCTGCCATTGCCTCCTTCTGGTTGGAAAAATAACAAGTGACGAGTCTTCCTTTAGTCTACTTGCTTCTTGGCTCTTAAATTGAGATTAAGAAAATAAAATTGGGTGACCTGAAAGCAGACTTGAAAATTTAAAGCATGGCTGCTACCACTATTATTTCCTTACTCTTTTCTGAAAGAGCAAAAGACTACCCAAAGAATTCTGAGAAGTTAACAAGTCACATTGTAGACTTTGGAGTAGTCATAAAATTTTATTTCTTCTCTTCTCATTCAAGTGATTTGTCAAACACATAATTTAAAAAATTGGGTTTACTTTTTACTTTATTAAAAAGTATAGATAAATACAACAATTATAAATCCAAAAATGTCTGGAAAGGGAGGTGTACTGACAAGGGGCTTGCAAATATGGCTATACACACACACACACATACACCCTGAAAATATTGCAGCTCTTATCAGAAAAAGGAATCACAAACTGTACAACCTTCTGCTTTTAGTGAGCCCTGGTTGTGCTTTAGAGGGACTTATGATGAAAGGTTTATACCACAAGTACTGAATCATTCCAAATTCCCTGTGGGCCCATCCATTCCACAAACACAGCCATGTTCTCTGTCTTGTGAGGGAAGGAGAAGCTCAGTGGATAAAATATACAATCCCAGAGTAAACCCTGACACACCTTGAGCAAAGCAACAAAGCAACTCAGGGTTGAGATAGGGAAAGCCTGTACTGTGAGAGGTGAGAAATTCTCTCCCTTCCCTAGGTCCTAAGCAGGCACTTTTTGCCTAAAGCACAATCAGGAGGTGCTAATGCATCTTTCTCCAGGAACTGTGGTTGCTCTTTTGTTCAAGCCACCTACTGGCAAGAAGAGGGATGAAGGGATATTTAAAAAGACAGAAAAGCAAAAACTGAAGAAGAAAAGACAGATGAAGATAGTTGAGAGGAAGAAAATAAAGAGGGAGAGCAAAAGACTCACTGAATTGCCTGTGGAGGCTGCCACAAGAGAGCCAATTAATGCCAATTGTGGTGATGCTTTTTGTGAAAAAGACTGCTGTCCAGAACCTGGATGGCAGCCACCACCTCATCTCAGAGGCCACTGAACAGCTGTTAGGAGGCAAGAGCCTTCATTTGCTATTTACCTACTCAGGTTCAGA